TCTACCCTACTCTAAAGTTCTCCCCTACACCATATCCCCCAACACCACATCTAAATGGTTCTTAAACACAGCCAGGGATGGTGACTCAACCACCTCCCTGGGCAGCCTATTCCAATGCCTGAGAGTCCAGGTCCAGGAGTAGGATCATTCTAGAGGATCCTGCAGGTCATCTTCATGTGGTCCAATACCTTCGCCTGCGCCGTGGCATGTCACCCCCAGACCCAGGGCACGATGGCTTGTGCCACATACCAAAAAAAGTTGAATGGGGTCAGTTTGTAGGTTTTTGGTGCTGTTGGGTCTGTTAGGCTGTTGCTGGGCGCTTAGAACAACATCACAGTTTACTTATCAAATTTGTATCAGCTGATAGGTCTCTTTTCTCAAGTCACAGGCGACAGGACAAGAGGAAATGGCCTCAAGTTGCACCAGGGGAGGTTCAGGCTGGATATTAGGAAAAATTTTTTCCCTGAAAGGGTTCTCAGCCATTGGAATGGGCTGCCCAGGGAGGTGGTTGAGGCCCCATCCCTGGAGGTGTTCAAAAGAGGGGGTGATGTAGTGCTGGGAGGTCTGGTTTAGTGATGATGCTCCTTGTTTGTTGTGTGGGTGTCTATTTTTGTCAGTTCGGTTGACGGTTGGACAAGATGATCTTTAAGGTCCCTTCCAACCTAGAAGATTCTGTGATTCTGTGATTCTGTGATGACACTTCTAAGCGTCAGAGGTTGTCAAAAGAAGGGGAAAGTGGTGAAGGTCTTCGTGGTGCTGGAGAAGTTGGGCTCCAGCATCACTGCAGTAGGTTCCCCAGTACCAACTGGGTGGGGACCACAAGAGCTTGCCCACGAAGCCTTCCCCTGGTCGGCTCAGGGTTTGCTGATTTGAGTAAGCAACGGTTACGGCGTACGTGTGCTGTGCCTCTGCTACAGTCAGCCCTGAGCTAGCTCTCAGGACTCAGCAGTGATTTATTTTTTTTCCTTGTTATTGTTTTTACAATTAAAAAAAAAACCCAAATATAAAAAAGCTTGGATGAATGGTAGTGGCACTGATTTATTTTGCTGCAGAGGGAACAGCTCTCTTGCCGACCAGCTGCCGGTACAATATGTGCACTCTGATTTTATATCCTGCACTTTTTAGAGCTAATGCTATTTATACAACATTTTTGTTTGTTCGACTCCTAACTAGTAGCGTGTCAAGGGAAATAAAATCTTACTTTCCAGAGCTGAGTTTTCTCTCATTGCTCACATAACTTCTCCCTGTTGATATTCCCATTAACTACGTACCTAATTGTTGAACTGCTTTCAACAACTCTCTCCATTAATGAGAAAATATGTTATGAGATAGTAGATAGTCTATTTGATTAGGAAAGTCTTTTAAAATTTAAAAATCTGCAAAGTTTGAAATCTAGAAGCTTTAAAGCTTTTCAATCTTTCCCAATTCTGAGAGACTGAAAGTGTGACTGACAGGCGGTGGTTTTTTAGGTTAAGTTCATCAGAATTTTAGCCTGCTTAATTTGTTTTTGCCGTACATATAAACATCTTGAGATGAAAAAGAGTTTCTGAGTTGAAACCATCTTACTGCCAAGTTTGCTCACAGCCAAAAGTAGATTTTTTAGCAGTTTAGATTTCAGTGAATTGCCTCTCTCCCAGTATTTATGGGAGATGCTACTGATGGAAGAAGAAAACCAGACTTAGGAACTTTTCTCCTCTGCAGAAAGGGTTCTGTGCACTGGAGCAAAGTTGAGTTTTACTTCAAGGAGAGCTGCAGAGCAAAAACATGATGCCTGAGGAGTCAATTTTCCTCTCCCTGTAGGCTCTAACTGAATGTTTTAAGGTTTGATTGGTTTCTGTGAAGCCATATCTCTCTATCGAGAAGATCTTCTCTGGAGCATCTGCTGACAAGTGCCAGATTTTAAATGATCTCTCACGCTGTCGTTAGAGAACATTAAATAGTGGTGGAACAAAATAATCAATCAAGAAACAAGATGCCGTTTCTGGTCTAGAAGGGAATCTTGCCTGCCAAGAAAGCAGACAAGTGTTTTTTAAATCAGACTCCGTCTGGATGCACAGCCTGGAAGAACAGAGCATCAAAACGTCACATTGATCAGCCTCTGGCTCTTGGCCACGTTGGCAGAGAGGGTTGGGAGGGACGGTCCAGAGGCCTGTTTGGGTTTTTCTAAAGCTTAATTGGTAACGTGGTGTTAGAGAGATGGAACAGGAGAGTGAGATTGTGTTCCTGGGGGGAAAAAGTTGGGTTTTGGTCCACGTGGACGCTCGTGGGTTGAGCGAGCCCTGCAGGACAGACGGTGGGGGAGACCTCACTGGGGCTGGCTGCAGGTGGTCTGTGGTGGAGACACCATCACAGCAAAGTGAGTCACTGGCCCTGGTATTACAACTTCACGTCCGTTTAGGTGCTCTTCAGGATGGTAAGAAAGTTAAGGTTCCAGGCACAGGGGTTTTTTTTGAATGTCATCATGGAAAACCATGAGTTGAGCTGCTTTGTTTCTACCATATAAGATTTTCACGTTACAGCCCCAGGGGTGTTTCTTTTCAGTAACTCAATATATTGAGCCGTTTAAAATTAAGAGCTGAATGAACTATATTGCACTTTTATTAAAATGCCTTGTTAATAATCTCCTAATAGAAATTTATGAAGTGTTTTTCACATTTTTTTTGCTAGAGGAAACTATCTTGAAATGAAATCTTTTCTTCTTCAAGAGCTATAAACCACTTCCACTGAAGAAACTTGTTTTGTTTCAGAGATCATGGAGTATGATTTTTATACTCCAGTTGTATGTACTATTTCATTAAACATTTATCATGAAACAGAATGAAACAGTCAGAATTTCCGAACCCAGTTAATTCTAGACACGTTTAAAAGTAATTATTAGTAATTATTTATTTATTATAATTATTATTTATAATTATTATTTATTAATAATTTTAACTGTTTCATTCTAAATGATGTTAAAATCTTAACGTGGATATTTCCTGGGGAACAAGACCTTAGTTTCCTGCACCACACCATGTTGGAAGTGGTAAAAGAGTGATGGCAGTGGATCGCTCTGGGCTGGGAAATTCCCCACACCCGGGTTTCTATGAAGCCTGGTCCTCCCACCAAAAATTGCTATTTTCTTTTCCCATGAGGTGCAGAGGAGGAGGAGGATGATGAGGAGGAGGAGAGCAAAGTCACCTTGCCAAAAGCCACCAGTTCCCAGGCTGTCTCCGTGCCGTGGTGGCCGGGGTGACCTCCTTGGCTAGCGCCGGGCTGGGAGAGGCTGCAAATGGGCAGGAATTTCTGGAAAAGCAGCCAGGGACTAGGAGTGCCAGCTGCCTGCTCGTGACACGCTCATAAAAATAGGTTTTTAATCATCCTCGTCTGATGTATATTTTGCTCAATGTTTCCAGGTCTGGTAAATTCTGAGTATTTCTGCTTGGCATGTTTGCATAGCGAGGAGATGCTGAACTTCAGCTCCTGGAGAACATGGATATTTGGGGATAGTGTCTAATCCCAAATTAATACTTTATATTACCAGGTATCACCTCCCAAGATGCCTTTCTTTTTCTGATTTGTTGGCTGAAATACCCAAAGAACAGTTATTGCGTTGATCAGAAATACTTTGATTTTGGTAATCCTCCAGCTTCTGGGGAGAAATTACTCTTGCTCACTGGAGCCTCGTGGTAAATTTGGGATATTCTGGAAAGGATTAAAAGCATTGAATTAATTTCTGTGTTGGTGCTCTGGCCTTCCCCTGCCCGGTACAGACCAAAGGCAGAGCAGCGCTGTGGAATCAGGGGCTTTTTTTTTTTTCTCTCTAGATTCATTAAACCTTTATCATCAGAAGATTAATTTCTCAAAAGCTTGTCCCGCCTCTCTGGGTGGCTCTACATCTGTCAAAGGTATAAATCTCCTACAATGAAACTGCTCAGTACGCTGCCAGCTTTTTTTGTCCTTAAAGCTGTTGAAATACAGGATAATCAAAACGGGCTTAGGTTGCTATTTTAATCAAAGCAGGTCAGTGCTTGCTAATTTGAACGCTCAGAAAGGTAGATTTTTATTCTGATGGAAATGAAGGTCTTGTACTGAAACGAGCAGTAGTTTTTATGAATGGGGTATGGCCCAGGGTCTCCTGCTCTGATACCACAGTAATTAGAAATCCAAATGGACCGGATGTTCGTCCCTGCTAAGGATTAATGAGATGTTGGAAAAAGAGAGAAGGCTTAGATTATATTGAGAACAAGGTAAGAGAGGATGTTGAGGAGGTGGTGTTTCATATTATTCCAGTTTTCTTATCATCAGGGTATTTCATACATGTGGATAAATACGTTGTAGGTCTATTTCTTACGTAGGTCCTCTTTCCTTCCCCTGTAGGCTTCACAGCAAACACTGCCAGGAGTATTTGCCAGTAGATTAGCAAGATTTTATTCTTTTTGACACATGTATTTGTTTTACAAATGCTTAATGAAGTGGGCTTTGCTGGTCTGGTTCACTGCTACGTATAGAAAAAAGCCTGTCGAGGCCTGTGAGCTTAGGGGGGGAAATATTTCTTTCAAGATAAAAATACATAGCCCTGATAATGTCATTTAATACTGAGCCCTGAGAATGGTCCCTGCCGTGTCTGAGGTTCCTTTTGACTCCTCTTTCTGCACTGCCCTTCTTCAAGATCGTCATAAAAATCCTCTGAGCAGAAGGATTTACCCCTAGGTTTCATACGTATCTTCATTGTAGGCCTTACTCAGAAGAAAACTAATCACTTTGGCCCAAATTCTATCATTCTAAGCTTCAGTTGTATTTATTTAGAAAATTGAAAGTGTAAGTTGTATTCTCTCCTCGCACCTGAACCGAAACTGCGAGTTTTGCTGTTGCTTTGCATTAAAAGACACAAACACAACTTTCAACTCCGAGCACAGGCAGTGGCATTTCGATGAACAAAAATAGAAGTGAAGTAAAAACAAACAGAAAAAGGGTTTTGTTATCATTAAATTATTTTTTTTTTCTTCCTCTTTACGTAGGTTCCTCAAAATTAGCACTATGACTGATGGAGACTATGATTATCTGATCAAACTCCTGGCCCTTGGAGACTCTGGGGTTGGAAAAACAACGTTCCTGTACAGATACACCGATAACAAATTCAACCCCAAATTCATCACGACAGTAGGGATAGATTTTCGGGAAAAACGAGTGGTAAGTTGTCTCATACGAATGAGACATTCTTTTTTTTCTTTATTCATTTCTGCTGAGAACAAGTTTTCTGTAAATGTGTACTGCCTCTCTTACTGCAGGGTGTAGCACGGGTTGGTAATGCTTTTCCTGGTCTAGTTTTGGCTGAAAGAAATCATAATTAGGAACTGGATAAAGGGGAAAAATGCCATTATCCTTATCCTGATGCTGGATCGTAAACCGGTTTATTGCCCGTTGGTATAAAAGGATGTTTCCAAGAGGAGAGGGGGAAAATGCCATTATCCTTATCCTGATGTTGGATCGTCAAGTGGTTTATTGCACGTTGGTATAAAAGGATGTTTCCAAGAGGAGGTTTCCATAGTGCTAGTGAACGAGGTGTGTTTCTGACTAGGAGTATCTCTGGTCCCCAAACTTAGAGTCTAAATAGAAATATGGAAATTTAGAGAAGCACAGAAGTTTCAGCTCGTTCCACACCACCCAGGAAACTAGTGAAGGCACAAGAAGTGGTTCCACCAGCAGAACCACGCTGCTCCTCAGGGTCGCTGCCAGCTGTACAGTTCAGTCATCAGAGTCCTCCTCGTAGCTTAGGGTCGATGTTCCCCTTAATGCACAGTGGGTGAGCCTACTCTGCCATGCTTTTGGGTCTTTGGTGTTAAATAAAAAGATGAGAGTCTTCTGTAGTGTCAGTCGGATGCTTTTTGAGGCTAAGAGAGCGCAGTCGTTTTGTGTTAATTGAATGTGACTAATGTATCCGTTCAGAGATCCTGACAACTGATAGGGGCTAAATACAGGGCACAAATTCAGCTTTCTAATAGGAATCCTCCTAGCTTGCTTGAACACTAAAAACATGACCAATACAAGATATTAGACCCTGGGCAATTACTTTAGTCATTTCCTTAATAAAAAAAAATGTAAATACTTGCCCAGTGAAAAGATGGAGACCTCTTTAAATTAGCTTCTTTTTAAATTTAACATTTAAAGCTCCAATTATTTCAGTAGAACTCCATAAAACGATGGGCATCGCTCCCTCGTTCACCTTCATCTTCCCTGGTGACTTTTTGATGCCAGTACTTGTGGTTGCTGCTGGGAGGTCAGTTTTGCCCTGGTGACAGGGGTTCAGGGGTCCCCCTGAATAAAAGAACCGTGGATCTGGATCACATCTTCACTTTCTCATAATCCACACTATGCAAATTCATTTAAACACGATGCTCAGGTTGGAGTAGAGCCGGGCTCCTCCTCTGCGCTGTGGAATCGCACCGATATTAATAAGAGCAAAATATTAAAACCAATTACTTTAGTCATTTCCGTAATAAGGACAGAGTAGAGCTGGGTTCCTTCTCTCCGCTGTGGAATCACACCGATATTAATAAGAGCAAAATATTAAAAAAACCTCCAGTTTTATTGCAAGGAAATGTCTGAACATGCAAATTGCCAGGATATTCTTCTCCTGGCTGGTCAGACACTCATTAAAATGTTTTGAACACGGGCGCTGGATTCTTTCCAGAAGGTTGAACTTCTCTGCTAAAGGTTGAAAAACCTACAGTTTTATTGCAAGGAAATGTCTGAACATGCAAATTGCCAGGATATTCTTCTCCTGGCTGGTCAGACACTCATTAAAATGTTTTGAACACGGGCGCTGGATTCTTTCCAGAAGGTTGAACTTCTCTGCTAAAGGTTGCAGCCAGATTTCTTCTGTGATTTTCCATTACTGTATGTTTTTTGGGGTAAGATAGTTTATAAGCGTGGAACAAAACTACATCTTACATGAAATTACCAGCTTTGAAATGTCTTGAAGGTGCCATCTAATAAATTGTCTTCTTCGAGAAGAGGTCCAAAAGGTTAAATAGGTGGTGGTTTGCTCTTGTGTAAAAGCCATATTAAAATTGCTGAGAGTCTGCTAAAGTATCTCAGATAACAAAGACACCTCATTTTCTCCTTCTGCCTTTTACTGCAACAGCTAATTTACACCCTCTTTCTGTTTAAGAAAGAATTGAGCCCTGGCGAAAGGTCACAGTGATTTTTATTTATTTTTTTTTTCAAGCGCTGGGAGTTTGCAGTCGCAGTCAGTAAGGAAGTCCTTAATGTCCAACACAAGTTAATGAAGAAAAAAAAGCTTTTTATAATAGTGGTTAATTCTGTCAGCCAGCTGTAAAGTTTGTAAGAACGGCAGTGGAATAGAACGCAGACCAAGCTGGCTCAGCAGAGTGCTATGCTAAGCTTTAAAGAATTGCTATCTAATTTGAAGTTACTAAATATGACCAAATTATCTTTAAAGTGCAGCTTTCAGAGGCGTTTCATGTGCCTCCTGGGTTTTTAAATATTATTATAAGCAGCCTCTGAAGTGGCTTTTAGAGGTAAGAGTCGGCTTTTACTGAAGGATTTTACTCCTTGCTCCTATAACGGTCTGTGACCCGGGGGATGGATTTTGGTGTGGGCAGTAACGATTTGAATCTTTTTTTTCTTTTTTTTTTTTAGGTATACAACAGCAGAGGAGCAAATGGATCTCCAGGAAAAGCCTTCAAAGTCCATCTCCAGCTTTGGGACACGGCCGGCCAGGAAAGGTAACAGAGTTCGGCTCATCGCAAAGCACTTTTACATGTTTTTTTGGGTAAACCATCAGTCCGTGCAGGTGAAAAATAGCAGAAATCCTTGTATTTTAGGCCAAGAAAAAGATCTTCCAGAAATAAAGCTTTTTCTGACACTGCTTTGATGCAGTGATTGGAGGATCTCAGAAAACAGGCCTGGAGGAACTGAGGGTGGACAGGACGTGGCCTCATTTCTGCCACACGTGGGTTATTGGTTCCTAGGTTAGCTTTTTGGGTTTCTGCTGTTATTTTGGCTTCATAACACGTTCCACATCTCCTCTGGAAGATGCCCTATAAACTAGCTAAGTGTCTTGTGCTTGTATTTCACATGTTTTCTGCTAGATTGGATGGTGAGGCCTGTTCTGTTGGAGGTGCCCAGCGTACAGGAGCGCACTGGCATGCATGTAGCCATCAGGCTGAGGGCAGCCATTATTCCTTTTCATGCAGCACTTCTGGGGCCACATCTGGAATTCTCTTTCCATTTTTGGGAAACCCAGTGCCAAATACTTTTTACTGATAAACTGAAGTCCCGTGGGGTGGTGTTAGAACAGGTCAGGAGGCAGAGAAATACCCTTAAATCCTCTCCAGTTGACGTGTCCCGGGCTTGCTCAGACTTTTCTGTGATGAGCAAGCTCCCTGTTCCATCCTGCCCCAGGCCTGTTCCAGCCTCTCTCATGCAAACGGGATGGAGAATTCTAGTTTAAGTCTTAGTGCTGAGTAGCATGGAAGAATTGCTTCTTATCTTACCTTTATGGTTTGTGTTGGTTGCCTTCTTTGCAGCAACATAACCATGGTTGGTGTTTCAAGTTCATGACTGAGCAGAATCCTCCTTGGAGAAGGATTCTTTTACCCAACCAGTTGTTCCCTACCTTTGTGTGCCCAGTTGTTTGTTCTTCCCAAAGGCTTGGCACCATTAAATTTCATCCCATTTTTGGTTTTTAAAGGGAGAGGTGTGCATACTGCTTTCTTAAGCTTCCCCTGGCTCGTTACGTGCGCTGGTTTTCACTCATAAAGTGCTTGAGGTTGCCCTCGGTGTGACTACTGCTGTCATCTGTCAACGAGGGATGAAAATGTGACTCACCCCTATTTGCTGTGTCATAGTGACTGAAGCGCAGCCGACTGGAGCGGACTTTTGTCTTCTTTGCCCAGTGGGGAGGAAAAAAAGTCGTGATGAGGCACATTTCAGGTTTTCGGAGTGAGCAGTGCAGATCCCGTAGGCTTTTTGCCATGGGAAGGATTGCTGCTGGATGAAAAGCAGAAGAAAGCTGGAATTTTGTGTCTGCATCTCTTATCCTTACTCTCAAACCCTTTCTCTCAAAAACTCTGCAAGAGGCTGAACATTTTGAGGCTTTTTTTTTTTTTTTTCTCCCTGAAAAGAATCCCTAAAAGTAGCGTCTGACATGATTCTGTGGGAGCTTTCTTTAAATTGTCGTGGATGTGTGGGATAAAATACCAGTTACCATTTCTGGTACTGCTGGTTTACTGCTGATTACTGCTGATTAGTGCTGAATACAGAACACCTGAGGGTCATTGCACAGTTGCCCAGCAGGCTCCAAAGGTTTTAATGTTGTTTGGGCTTTCTTTATGTGTGTGGTTTGACCAGGCTGTGACCTTTTGGTGACAAACAGGGGGGACATTTCCCAGTTTGTAGTTTCATCCAGCTCCATGGCTTTGCAGGAAACTTGTGACCAAGGAGAAGTTACCTCTGCCTTTTAGCTGAGCTTCCCAGCAGACAGTCACATCCAACAGCCAAAAGCATGTAAACAAATGCCTAATTTCCTTTATTTTCTTTAATATTGGCTTTGTGGAGTAGTGCACATTCATTGATTTAAGTGTGTGTAATCTCAGTGGGTGAATGCATTTCTATCCCTGTGATCTGTGAAACAGTAAATGCTTCAGTGTCTTGTTTTTGTGTGGTTTTTTTTTTTTAACCAACCTTCCTCTCTCCATCTCACTCTGGGTTAAATCAGGCAGAATTTGAACTAATAGATTAGTCACTGACAATGTTTATATTCTCACATATAAGCTTCCTCTGGTAAATTACTAACACACTGATTAATAAATGTTGTCTGGTGTGATGCATCATGGCTAAAATGAAAGTCAAAGATTACTTTATTTAGTTTTTACTTCCAAGGGAGCGTACGTTCACTAAATCTTGCAGGCTCTTCAGATTTCAAGGTATGTTTTAAATAGAATTTTTCCACAAGCAATTCATAAAAGGTTTATTTTATGGCTTTTTCCTTTACTCAGTTCAGGCTCGCCAGAAAAGTGCTTACCTTCGAGATCGCTTTGTATTAATAGAGCCACGTCTTTTTTCCTTCCACCTTCAGGTTTCGAAGTCTCACCACGGCGTTTTTCAGAGATGCCATGGGCTTTTTGCTGATGTTTGATCTCACCAGCCAACAGAGCTTCTTAAATGTCAGAAATTGGATGAGTAAGTAGAAGCGTGGTGCTCGCGTTTATCGGTTGACTTGAAGCTTTCTTGGGTATTTTGGCCTTCGAGGCTTCACGGGCGTCATTGTTTGTGAGCTGGAAAGTGCTTAAAGAAAGCAGTTATGTCTAGTGCTGCCATAAGTGGGGTCCTTGCAGCCTGTAATTTGGGGTGAAAGCTTCAGCAAATTGGAAAGATACATGCTCTTTTTTTTTTTGCACAGTAGACTGGTTTGGGGCATATTCTTGATAATCTTGTTTGGATTTGGTACAATTTGATTCTGTTGCCTCTTGAAAATTCGTGGCATTTGGGACTTCCTTGGCCATACCCCATGTTTTAGGTGATACACAGGGGTTTGGAAAGTGTGCTTTGCTTATTGCTGTTATCTTTATGGTGTGGTTTCTATTTGTAAAGCAGCACGTGATTCCTTCCTGTCTCCTTTTGAGGTTGAAATTAAAATTCAGATTGGGCTTTGAGGGTTTGGTTTGAAAATGCGTAGTGTTTGCTGGTGTTGGTTTTCCTTCAAGTAGACTAAAAGTGAAACAGAAGTTAAGGTCTTAAAATTTGTTTTTAATTGAGGGTATTTAGAGTCCTGGAGGAACACAGGCCAGGACGTTTCCAGCTGTTTTGCCAGCAAACAAGCTGAAGTGAGAATAATGTAAGAATCCAGACAGCTTTGTGAAAACAGCTCCATCAGATCGTATCTAGCAGCGACGTTTCTTCATCAGAGATTCCATCCTCCCACTAAACAATCCCCATCACCACAATCTGCCGCTGCTTTCCAAAGCACTGTGTTCAGTGCACCTCGTTGTGGTTAATTCTTGTTGTATGTTGGTAAAATAAATACTGCAGATAATTTTCTGGTGCCATTTCTCCTTCCTATTTTGAAAAATTCCCCTTAGCAAGTAAATTTATGGCAAGGAAATGTGTTTGGCATGTGGTGGTTGGCTGGTTAGTCCAGGATATTTTGAGGTGAGGAGCAAAAAAGATGCTTTGAATTATTTTGTCAACAATCTTGGCCTCTAAGGTGCTTCCAGCCTTCTCTTAACTCCTGTTTATTTTTGTTTCTAGGTCAGCTACAAGCCAATGCATATTGTGAGAACCCAGATATAGTCTTAATTGGCAATAAAGCTGATTTATCAGACCAAAGGGAGGTAAACGAAAGGCAAGCAAAAGATCTGGCAGACAAATACGGGTAAGCAAATTATGAGAGAAGCTAAATTTAGTCTCTAACTGTGTGGTATGTGTAGTTGAGGCATCTAGAGTGATACCCAACTTGTCACACTTTCAGAGCGACCTGTTTGCGTAGGAAATAGATAGAAGGAACCACAGTGTTGTTGTAGTTCAGCCAAAACATCACAACATGAAAAGTAAAGCTGGAATGGAAAAATCTGACTGGGAAACTGCATTCTTGGGATGTTTGCTTGTCCTGAGAGTTCAGGGCAGAGTACACCAAAGGCAGATGAACGCTGTCATGTAGGAAATAACTAACAATATTTAGAATTTGCTTTTCTAGTTAGTTTTCAAGTAGAGACACCTGTGGATTTTCATCAGGTTCTAGGTGTATGGTCCAGCTGAATTTGTTCTATTTTTTCCTGATGGGTAGTAAAGCTGTTAATGGTTGTTTTCCTAATAAGCTGGGCTTCCACACTTCTTTGCACTAATAATACCTGCAGAACCTCCTGCAACTGGATAAATTGGCTGTATAATATAGTTAGCAAAGAGTGCTGTGCCCTTACATGGGCAAAAAGAATGTGTATTCTTAGGTTTTCAAAGAGAATTGGGCTGAGAGACCGTAAGGAGTGATAAGCAAATCAGACTTAAAAATATTAAAAGAATATATAAGAGTTGTGTGCAGGCAGGTGAGGAGAACAGTGATACTGAGGAGAAGGTAGCTCCTGCCAGATTCCATAAGATGGAAGTGCTGGAGCAATCGATAATCCTCTCTTCTGAAAAAGAGGATTTGGAAGGCAATATTCTGGACTCAAAGAGGATTTCAGAATGGAAACCTCTCAGTTGTGCTGAGAGGGGAGGGAGATGGCACTTGCAGGGACTGCTAAATAGCAATAGTTGAAGTGCCTGCCCCCCAAAAAAAGTTTTCTGGTATGTTCTGTAATTTTCTATAATCCAGACCTAGGTTTTTCTTAAAATAGACTTTCTGAAAGGCTTTTTCAGCCAAGGTTTGTTCTGATGTTACCTCAATTTGAAGTGAAAATGCCAGGACACGCTTTGTAAATTAATGGGGCATTTTTGTGCTGGTGTCATCACCCCAATTTGTGCTTGGAACTGGCGTTTGGGTTCTGCCCAGCAGGGAAATAGAGTCGCAAAAAACCAGAATTATTTGCTTTTTCGTTGCACGGAGAGTGTTGGAAAGAATTGAGTCTCGGATGTCTTTAAAAGCCTCTCCAACCAACTTTTTCCTTTTCCCTGCAGCATTCCCTACTTCGAAACGCTGGGATGTTGGCTTGTCCTGAGAGTTCAGGACAGGGTACACCAAAGGCAGATGAACGCTGTCATGTAGTAAATAACTAACAATATTTATAATTTGCTTTTCTAGTTAGTTTTCAAGTAGAGACACCTGTGGATTTTCATCAGGTTCTAGGTGTATGGTCCAGCTGAATTTGTTCTATTTTTTCCTGATGGGTAGTAAAGCTGTTAATGGTTGTTTTCCTAATAAGCCTGGCTTCCACACTTCTTTTCACTAATACCTGCAAAATCTCCTGCAACTGGATAAATTGGCTGTATAATACAGTTAGCAAAGAGTGCTGTGCCCTTACACGGGCAAAAAGAATGTATACTCTTAGATTTTCAAAGAGAATTGGGTTGAGAGACTGTAAGGAGTGATAAGCAAATCAGACTTAAAAATATTAAAAGAATTAAAAGAATATATAAGAGTTGTGTGCAGGCAGGTGAGGAGAACAGTGATACTGAGGAGAAGGTAGCTCCTGCCAGATTCCATAAGATGGAAGTGCTGGAGCAATCGATAATCCTCTCTTCTGAAAAAGAGGATTTGGAAGGCAATATTCTGGACTCAAAGAGGATTTCAGAATGGAAACCTCTCAGTTGTGCTGAGAGGGGAGGGAGATGGCACTTGCAGGGACTGCTAAATAGCAATAGTTGAAGTGCCTGCCCCCCAAAAAAAGTTTTCTGGTATGTTCTGTAATTTTCTATAATCCAGACCTAGGTTTTTCTTAAAATAGACTTTCTGAAAGGCTTTTTCAGCCAAGGTTTGTTCTGATGTTACCTCAATTTGAAGTGAAAATGCCAGGACACGCTTTGTAAATTAATGGGGCATTTTTGTGCTGGTGTCATCACCCCAATTTGTGCTTGGAACTGGCGTTTGGGTTCTGCCCAGCAGGGAAATAGAGTCGCAAAAAACCAGAATTATTTGCTTTTTCGTTGCACGGAGAGTGTTGGAAAGAATTGAGTCTCGGTTGTCTTTAAAAGCCTCTCCAACCACCCTTTTCCTTTTCCCTGCAGCATTCCCTACTTCGAAACGAGCGCTGCTACGGGGCAGAACGTGGAGAAGGCCGTGGACACGCTCCTGGACTTGATAATGAAGCGTATGGAGCAGTGTGTGGACAAGACACAGGGCTCCGACACAGCCAACGGGGGCAGCTCGGGGAAACTGGATTCGGCAAAACCGGAGGAGAAGAAGTGTGCCTGCTAAACATCACCCTCTTAAACTGTGAAAATCAAGGGAAAACAGTTCTGACCTACCACCACATTCCAACCGGGCTCTCTGGAGCCCCTCACGGAAGCAAAGTTACCCTCGTTTTATCGGGATTGTGCGGTTTGTTGTTTTTTTTTTCTCCTCTCTCCAAAGAACTGGTTTCAAACTTCGCGCTGTGTTGCGGTGAGGCTCTTGTGCTGAAATGATTCTTCCTGATACGGTGCCATCAATCACGGAAAGCTCTCCCACCTCTTCTTCCCCCCTTCCTTTTCCCCCCCAGCCCTCATCTTTATTTTTCATGGGTTCAGGATACTGAATAGAGGAAAGTAGCTTTATTTTTGTAAAAAAAGGAGGGAAAGACCCTATTGTCTGCATACACTGGATACTGAAATTAAAATGGAGGTGGGTGGTTTTCTAGGCCATTTTTCCACAGAATCCTGTTTCTTTATAATATTTAATCGAAGTGGTGGGGGGGGGGGGGGGGGGGGGGTGGTGGGTCGTGTGTGTGGTTTGGGTTAGGGGGCAGGAAGTAGGGCATTTAATTTAAAAAAATAACAATATATATAAAAATTATCAGGGAATTGCACAGCATTGCTTGTGTTGCAAATAATCCAAGCAGGAATTGGAGCATTAGGGGGGTAAAAGTATGGAGAGGGATATTGTCACGCTGCGGGGACAGTTTATAAAGAAGAGAGTATAATGTATGGGAACAGAGATAAACTATATTTTATGAAATAACTTCTTACCATTAGCAAAGAATATTTTAACCCCCTTTACCTTAAGAAAACTTTTTTTTTCTCCTTTTTCTCTGATAACTGCATATGGCAGGTAGGACATAGGGAAGAACCTGCGGCTGTTGGCGATGCCTGGAAGGGAACTGTAAAGTCCCCCGTGCTGTGTCTTTGTGGGGTCTTCTGGACACTTAGGTTTTCACCAGAGGAGAGCTTTCTCAGGCTGGACGTGGAGAAAATGTGAGGTGGGGACTTGGAATGATGGGAGTCTGGAATATGTGAGGGATTAGGAGGGAATTTTAGAAGTTTGTAGGTGTCTTGGTGCCAAGGGTAGGTTGCTCACCCTGTGCTGCAGGAGAGGGGTGCAATGCACCTTCTTCTAGTGAAATAACAAGTCACTTATCACAGAGACCAATACAGGAAAAAGATAAATACTATATTTATAAGCATAGCTCATTTTCTAAGCCAAGTTACAGCATATTTATTAGTTTTCCCTGTCCTTTTTTTTTGGTAGAATAACCGTTCTGTTTTGATACAGGTGATAGTTAAAGGTCTATTGGTGTTTATTGTGCTTTAAGCTACTTCAAAATCCTTTGGGAGGGTACAGATTGCCTTGGGGGGGAAGGAACAGATCTCTTTACGAGTCAAGCTGCTTAAGTTGGGTTGGCAGGATTGCAGGCTTTCATTTATTTAAATAGTTCCAGCTTTGATTGATTCAAAATGGCAAACTTTTGTGAATGGCAAGCTCTTTCCAGCTTTGATTGATGATTGAAAATGGCAAACTTTTGTGAATGGCAAGCTTGTAAAGCATTTCGGTGCTTCCCAAAAATGGAGAATTTACCAGATTTGCTGCTGAAAAAATATCAGGTTTTTCTGTCCGGCTCCTAAACTGATGTTTACTCGATGATTTGGTTTTTAATGGGGCAGATGGTACATCTGTAGGAGCAGACCCATTGGGTGAGTTACCAAATAGCTGGGATGACCATTAGAGATCTAACTTGCAGGCTGTGAAGTTTCTATAAGTGATGGACTGTATCTAAAGGCGATATGTAATGTATAGTCTACAACAGGTATGACACAGGTCCTTTTATAGGCTATAAACAGTCTCAAGGGGTGGAAAAGCTGTTGTGGTGGCCAACAGGTGATTTTGCAGGTAGAAAGTGTAAATAGGCTGATACTCAGATAGATTCCTCCGTTACCTGAGATACAGAGACTGGAAATTCAGGGTTTTCTTTGAAGTCGTGTTGCTTTTTAATATGTAGCGTGAAATGTACATGTAATTTAAAAAAAAAAAAAAGATTGTAGTGTGTTTCAAATTCCTGAAGATGATGATCTGAGGAGCTCCCTGTCTTGCTTGCAAAAAAATCCCTCGTTTTGTGGCCTTGGATTTTCGCTGTTGAATCCGAATCCTCTGTTGAGCAGGGGGTGAAAGAAGTTGCTAAGAACAGTAAATTACCCACAGCTGTTCCCCAATGCAGCTGAAATACTGCTTGTCTGAACGATGTTCCAGAGCTGGAAGTAGCAGGCAGGTGATTGATGCAGAAGGTGTGTGAAATCCCAAGCCTGATATTATTTCAAAGCACCTCGCTGAAGCCCAGTTGCCTTGATTTATCTGCGCTCCATAAGGATACAGCCTCCGACATTCCCCAACGCCGATGGGAGCCTGATATTATTTCAAAGCACCTCGCTGAAGCCCAGTTGCCTTGATTTATCTGCGCTTGTGAAATCCCAAGCCTGACACTATTTCAAAGCACCTCACTGAAGCCCAGTTGCCTTGATTTATCTGCGATCCATAAGGATACAGCCTCCGACATTCCCCAGCGCCGACGGGCAGGGATGCCTCCCACCAGACCAGGTTGCTCAAAGCCCCATACGCCGATGGGCAGGGACGCCTCCTACCAGACCAGGTTGCTCAAAGCCCCAGCCTGTTAATGCACGTGAAACTATTATCCCCAAAGGATTTGACCATCAGAACTTTGGAGGAAAGGAAGAGAAGTTGAAACGTCCTTTTCTGGTAGGTGGTTTAGTAGCTCTGGATTATTAAATTCGGAAAAGAGGAACACGGTAAGCGATTCTAAATGGTTACTGACAGCTTTGTGGTTTATCAGGGTAACTCTCTGCGAAAAACTAGATAAGAACTCTGTCATAGTTTGACTCTTGTTCCTTTTTTTCCTCAGAACTCTTCTTTTTGGGTTTCTCATGCCCACCAGCAGGTTCTCATTCTCCTACATCCGCTTTGTCTTCCTGCAGCGTCGCGGCTCTTGCGAACCTCCCCCCTCGAGCAACTGCAGCCCTGCAGAGGTGACTCAGGGCCACTCCTTGCTGCCCTGGTAGGAACTGAAAGTGATAGTAATGCTAAGCTTCACAAATTCTGTGTCATTTCCAGGAAATAATGATCTTTCCAGCAAAGAACAAACGCTACAGGGGGCTACTCACAGTCTTACAGAGCCGTGCTTGTATGGAAAGGAATTTTTCTATCCCATGAGCAGGAAGACCCTCTCTCTGTTCTATCCAGGGCCTCCTTACTGGTTTGAAGGGCTTTCTTCTGCTTCTGCTGTAGCTCTGGGATGGATTTTTTGGTGCTAAGCCACCCCTAGGGTGGGTAGTGCCATCCCGTACAGGCTGCTGTGACCCCAGTGAGATGCAGTGTGGTGGCACAGCTCCTCTGGCTGCACTGGGAGCTCCTGAATGTATCCCTCTCTGGAGCCACGTATCCTACAGTTCTCATCCTTTGCTCTCCTCTTGCTCCAAACATTTCACTTGGATGTGATTCTTCCAGGTCACAACCCTGGGAAATCGATTTGCTTTCCCTCAACGTCTCTGGTAGGATATAGCCTCGTCCCATCCATCCCACTAGGACTTGAGGCCACATTCTGCTGTTGGGAAATGGGGTTTAAACTTGTTTGAATTAGAAGTTAAGCATTTTGAGCACAGATACAGCTTGTTTGCAAGCCTGCTCGATATCCCACATCAGGGCTGGAGAGGGAGAGAAGGTCCTGTGATGCTTTATCCGGGGTGATACTGAAAATTAAATGTCAGCGCAGTTATTCTAACTCTGTGGGCTTTTTGTCTTGAATTTCGGTCCAGGCACCGGTTTCTCTTTTTGTGTCCTTTTAGAAATCCCTTATTTCAGTTTTCCAGCATCCCTCCAGTACAGTGCTCTCTCTGCAGCCTTTGTGGGGCAGCGTGTGGGGTAATTCCTGACCTGAACAGTGCTGTGTGTTTCCCCATCCTTCCGAGGCGTGACTTGGGGGATCTTAACGCTGAGAAGAATTAATTTTGGTTTCGTTTTCTCTCTCCTTGCCTTCCTTGTCACCAGCAGCCATTCAAGTTACCCGACTTCTTGTTGAATCCCTTCCCTTCATCCTCTTGGCGTCTCCCAGTTACCTCCTGTACCCAGCGTAGAGCTCAGCGTAGTCCCTCCTTCGTCCTGATCCGCAGGTATTTTTGCTCTTCCCAGTTTGGGGTTGCTGCTCTGGTTCCAAACTGCCAAACTTAGTGACTTTAGAGCCTGGGGGTCATCCTCGGAGGAGGGAAGCAGCTCAGGGTCAGCAGGGAATGTCCTTAAACTGATGCTGCTGCTCTTTACTTTGCCATTCGAGCATCCTCTGCTCACCCTGCCTCACCTTCCCCGGCCTCTGTTGGAGTAGCAGAATCAAGACCTTTTAGAGGAGGGCAAGAAGGGAAATGTGCTGTTGTCAAATGGGATTATTATGATGATTTTTTTTGATGCATGCATTGAAATTGAATTTATGCTGCCTGCCTTTACGTTACGCCGCTGTGGTGCCTCGGCCAGCCCTGCCACCAGTTGGGCAATGGGAAGTGCTGGGCAGTGCCAGGGTAGGGTCCTGCGCTGTTTTCCATCCTTGGGAATAAAACAGGAGATGGGCAGAGGGGTGGGCTGGCTGGAAATTGCAGGATAGAAGTGGTGCTAAAGGTTTAGATAAGAGAAATGCTCTTAAACGTAGTGTTTACCAGAGAGCCCAGTTTGCAAAGTTACTTAAGCTTGTGTGTAATGGTTGAACTGGGTCTCTTCAAAGACAGGAGCTATTGCCAAGGCAAAACCACTACAGCTAAAATGGTGTAAAATGAGGAAAAAAAAAAAAAAATATCCCTGCACAGAAGTACCAACTCCATGGATGTACAGAGGTGAGTGAGCTTGGGTTTATTATTTTATTTTAAATCTTGTCCAGCCATGAAGAAAATTATGCCATCAACTGCAAAAGGCCAGAAGAGTATTAATAACTGTTCTTTAGGGCATGGTTTTTAGATGCTAAAGTAGATCCTCTCCTTAGAGGGTGTGTTGGTGACACGTAGCAATACATGTCCAGAGCCACCAGAGTGTTTGAAACGGCCGGGGGCCAGGAGGTAGCGTGTGGCACATCATCTATTTTAGGCTTCACCATCATTTAAGCTGCTTTCTTTTTATGAGGTATTTTTATCTGTCATCAGCTAGTACCGTGTGGGTTTTTTTTTTCCCTTGTTCTAGTGACTCACTTCCAAATCGAAGCATTTGGCAGGAGCCAGCTCTACCCTGGCAGGTACCAATCTTAAGTTAACTCTCATCTTTTCTATAGCCTTTGCCTTCTGTGGCTTTTTACAGGCGATTGCAAGAGGGAAGGTGTTTGCTTCTCTAAAAAAATAATTTAAAAGGGGGGTTTAGGTGCCTGAAACGTGTTTATTTTTTGGTTTTTTTTAAAAGGAGGAAACATAAGGCAAGAACAGGTGATTTGCCGACTGTGACTGGCAGTGGGTATGATGTAGCAAAAGATAATTTGAAATATTTCCTCGTTGTCTTGGTAATTTTCTAAAACCTGATTGCCTTAACTGTTTTCTGAAGGCTACATCTTCTTTAACATGCTGGATGTGAAGGGTTCTCATACATACGTTTACATTTTCGAGGACTGGGTCATGTGAGAATGTTTATTAAAAGCTGTTTTAAGATATGACTTTGATACCTGCTCCGTAGGGACTCTTTCAAGGTAAGAAGTTTTATCTCCTAGAACTATTTCAATCCCACGGATATAATTAAAGTTTTCAGCCTAAGGTTTAAAAAAAAAAAAAGTAATATATATATATATAACAATCTGGAGCTGTTATTTTAAAATTTGTATTCTTGGCACTATAATTGAAGAAAAGTAGCAAGTGTAAAAATAACCTCAAGTGACTGCTATTTTTATACGGGTGTGAACACTGTAGGAGTTTCAGACCATGCTCTGATCTTTCTTACAAAGAAAAAAAAAAAAGTGTTGGAACTGATGTCAAGCTGTTAAAATGAATAATTTTTTTACCTGACTGCTAGGAGACCTGGCTTGAGGCATCTTTAAAGAGAAAGCTAAATTTTTCCCAGCTTCTTTCCCATCTTAATTCTTCTATTTTAGACATAAATTTTCCCCATGACTCCTTATAGAATAAGTTTTGTGTTGGGTTTTTTTTGTCCCAGAGGATGCTGTTGACTTGGGCCTGTTCTCTTAGATGCTGGGCAGATCTGTTTCTGATTTATTAGTAGTATTATTATTATTTCTATCTGAACTAGTTAAAGGCAACAGAGGAAATGATTCTTTGCTACGTGCTTTTGTTCCCTACGGTTACCTGGTTAAAATAGAACTTTAGAAAATAGACCCTCAAGTTGTCCATCCTCATCGTGCAAATAGGGCTTTAATGGACAAACTGTGTATTAAAAGAAGCCTGTTGTATTTGACTCAATTTACTTATGGAAGTTAAATGGTTCTTTTTTTTTGGTTTTCTTAAGGTAGATTTCACCTTCTGGATAAACACTAAGCATCCTGTATCAATGACTTTTTAAGTGTTTTCCTTTTGTTCCGCTACTGTAAAGCATGTTTTTCGTTTGTCTTCAACAGATCTGTGCTATGCCTAGTGCTCTGAGTGTGATTTGAAACTATCTTGAACACAAATAAGCCTTTTTTTAAATTGTTATTATTATTAATTATTATTATTATGATAGATGCCCCTCGATCGGAGCGTGGCGCTTGCTTCCCCGGTGTTAATGTCACTCTGTTGTACCAAAGTACCCGTGGCTTTCAAACATACTGTCAAACCGGTGTCACTGGTGTCTGGGTTTGTGTAAAACAGCTGAGGAATGTATCCTGTGACTCAGTTTCTGCACTGTTATTTTCCAGAATAAAAGTACATTTTTAAAGCTGGCCTCTCAGCTGGTTTTTGGGGCACAGCCTAATTAGGCAGCTGAGGAGAAGAAGTGGAGGAGCAGGGATCTTACAGGCTGGCATCAACACCCATCCTGCCCCGTGGCAGCTCAGTGGTGGCACCCTGACTTCAAATTGAGCTGGTTTCCACTGAAAGAGGGATGGGAGAGGACTGGCCACCAGCTCCTTGAGGAGGAAAAGGTACAATTTACAAAACTCACCCTCTTAAATGGTGAGAATAACCTGCCTCGCCCCGCTGTTTAACGGGTGCCAAGCTTTTATTTGCACCTTCATCCTGGAGTGACACCATGTGTGAAGAATTTACCTCCAGTTTGGTAAGAAAAGGAACAAACTGAAACAGTACCTTTATGCCTTATTGATGTATCAACACTGTTCTTTATTTCTCTTTTTTTCCTCCACAGGCTGCTCCGCCTGCACGTCGGGAGTTAGAAGCCAGACCAGGGAAGTGGCCCTTCCCTCTGTCCCATACCTGAAACATACTGTGTGACCACCTGAAAGGGCAGGACCGTGGCTCCAACTGCAGCTGAGGAAGTGGCAACTGTACCAACGTGCCAGGTAGCCAAAGGTTTATTTTATAATCTTAACCTAAATGAGAGTCACGTTAAGCTGAGTCTCTGCACGGGGGCAGGTCTGGCTGAGCCCATCCGGCCACACAACGCCCTCCAGGCACGGCCAGGGCTGCCTTTGCCATCTGGGCTGAGCTCACCACCTCTCATCAGTTCTCCTCTTCTTTTCCAGGTTTATTCTTCCAAGGGCAGCTCCGCAGGGCCCCTCCTGTGCCACGTTTCGGAGAGAGGCAACACCTGCTGAAGGTGCTTCGCAGTAACAAAGAGGCTGGAGGAGTCACAGTTTGCAGCACAAAGTCCTTATGACAAAGGTAGGAGACAAACGTCCAGTCGTGCCTTTAGCTCTTTTGCTTCCTCAGCCTGCTGAGCATCACGTAAGGGGATGGTGCTCCTAAAGCTCCAACATCTCTTGGGGCGCTGCAGGGTGAAGCACAAGGAGGTAGAGATCACTTAGACCTGGCTTAAACCCACCACAACCACATACAAATTCAATCAGAGGTTTATAACTATGGCCCTGGCTATGGAGGAGCTGACTGAGAGCAGAAACTGGTGTCCAGATCTACTCCAGCAAAGGACTTTATCCCCCCAAAAAAATTTCCTCCTCCAGATCATCTATAACCATGCCCAGGCTTCTGCAGATACCCTTGGTTGATGCGCTGAGCATGCCCCAATCTCAGATGGATGGCCACATGGGAGTCAGGACCTTGGGCTACCACCATCCCACCACCAGCTCCTAAGTTGGAAGCAGAGCTTCAGTTTTTCCTCTCCTCTATAGAGAAGGTAATCACTGGAGGATAAAGTTTGCTTGCTCCCTGCAAGAGCCGTGGGCTCAGCTGTCCCCATGGACCCTCCTCAGATAACTCACTCTGTCCACACAGCTCTGGAAACTTTAGCTTTGGGTCGGCCGGACCAGAACTCCACTCTGTCCTTCAGCTCTTTATTCTGCAAGGAAAAAAATAAGAATAAAATAAACCCCTCTCAGCATAACGTGGCAGACAAGGGACAAGCCTGGATGCCAGCTCCTCCAGAAAGGTTTTTTGGGGGCTTGGGTGGATTCTTTTTGTAGTTTTTGTTGGGATTTTTAAGAAGAAAATGATTAAAAGATGCAGTGCAAAAAAATATCACCCCAACAGTGTCCTACTTACACAAGCCCAGCAGGGTGAAGGGGTCCCTGACTGCAGAGAACTACTTTTGCTCTCTCCCTTCAATATATCTTTCTATTTTTGGACTTTACCTGTGCTTCCAGCACAGTCAGCTTCTCTGTCAGGTTCTCGATTTTTTCATCTTGGCTTCTGAGTTTGTTGTTCAGTTCCTCTGCCTGAGAGGGAGGAAATAAAGTTTGTAAGAGATTTGGAACCTTAATATATCAAAAACATCTCTGTGTTGAACAAAACCACAGAGTGAAACATCTCACCACACCAGGGGAATCACAGATCATTCACATCCTTAGTCTCCTCCCCAGCTTTCCTGGAGCCCCTTGAGGGACTGGAAGGGGCTCTAAAGTCTCCCTGGAGCCTTCTCTTCTCTGGGCTGAACCCCCCAAACTTTCTCAGCCTGTCCTCACAGCAGAGGGGCTCCATCCATGGATCATCTCTGTGGCCTCCTCTGGTCCTGCTCCAACAGGTCCATGCCCTTCTGATGTTGGTGGCCCCAAAGCTGGAGGCAGCACTTGGGGGGGCATCTCCCCAGAGCAGAGGGGCAGGATCCCTGTCTTGCCCTACTGGCCACGCTGGGGGGGATGCAGCCTGGGATGTGGGGGACTTTCTGGGACACACAGTGAAGAGGAGCGCCCAGCATCTCCCAGTTCTGACCTCCTGTATCACGCCCCTCAGGCCCTGGTGCTGTGCCTGGATCACGCCCTGGAGGTGGCAGATCTGCTCCTGCAATGTGGAGATCTTCCTCTGGAGATCCAGGCACCTGTGGGCAAGAGCAGAGCACCCCGGGGTTGAATCAATCCCAAGGGATCGCTGACCCACCCAGCCACCTTCCCATCCCACCTCGGAGTCAGCACAAGAGCTTAGGTGCTCCTGAGGATATAAAAGTCAGGAAAGGCATCTCCCCAGAGCAGAGGGGCAGGATCCCTGTCTTGCCCTACTGGCCACGCTGGGGGGGATGCAGCCTGGGATGTGGGGGACTTTCTGGGACACACAGTGAAGAGGAGCGCCCAGCATCTCCCAGTTCTGACCTCCTGTATCACGCCCCTCAGGCCCTGGTGCTGTGCCTGGATCACGCCCTGGAGGTGGCAGATCTGCTCCTGCAATGTGGAGATCTTCCTCTGGAGATCCAGGCACCTGTGGGCAAGAGCAGAGCACCCCGGGGTTGAATCAATCCCAAGGGATCGCTGACCCACCCAGCCACCTTCCCATCCCACCTCGGAGTCAGCACAAGAGCTTAGGTGCTCCTGAGGATATAAAAGTCAGGAAAGGGAATACAAGGTGAAAGGAAAAGTACAAGGAATTTGAGTAGAATCACCATCTAAGAGCTGCAGGACATCAACATCTGTCTTGGTGACTTTAGGCAACCACAGTAAATCCAGTTTTGAACCAGTTGCTTTCATCATGAATAAGTTTACTACCAGAAGCAACTTGCGTGAGGGATTGTTTAGTATTTTACGTGAAATAATCCCCCAGAAAGAAAGAAAACCACTTTTATCACATGCATTTAATCACCGTTTGCCATCTTCGTTCCTTGACATCATCTGTTGAAGCATCTTTTCAAAGGACATCTTCTTCTCCATCAGAGTTTTCTTTTCCTGAGGAAGCAAAGTAATAGAAAAGTTGAATTACGATTCCTACCGTTTGATTAGCAAGATAATTTTGGCTGTACATTCAACAATTCCACTCTGAAAACAGACAGAATTCAGCAATAACCACCCACGTCACCATCAGCTGGAGATACCAACCGCTCTGACCACTTGGAATCAAATCCTGAAGGGGTGGCAGTACTGATTTACCATGGGAAACAGTCCAACTCTATTAAAACAGCACTTCTTTAATTAAATTAGCCAAAATTCTTAGGTGGGACTCCATGCCCAGTGGCCGGGGGATACTGCATGACTGTTACGTCCACCTCTCATAACCTTGGCCACAGAGGGCAAAAATCTGAATAAAACTGATAAAAACTCTCAGTATCAGAAATATTACTTGCATGTGATAGGAAGATATTCATTGACCCTGTATTTGCAGCAATCCCAGGACAGGGAAAACTTAGATTTAAAGTGGCACTTCTAGAGGAATTCCCACCCCAGCTGAGCACATAAATAAGAAAATACCATGTATGGAGCCATTTCTGGGAGAAAATACCGTACGTGGGGTCTTCCAACTCAACCAAAACCACCGAAGAAAATTCCCAGTGAGGAAAAAGAAATTTTCTGCAAGTTTCTGTGCAGGCAGACGTCGGGTGGCTGCCGCAGTCATTTGCCTGCCCAGGGTTTTGGGTGCTTACAGTGGCATTTTTCTGAGAGTTAAGGAGCAGTTTTTAGTACTAGGATGGTTACATTTTACATTTCAAAGCACGTCGATGGGCAAAAGCAAAAGAGCAAGTCTTCAGGGTTTTGGGTGCTTACAGTGGCATTTTTCTGAGAGTTAAGGAGCAATTTTTAGTGCTAGGATGGCTACATTTTACATTTCAAAGCACGCCGATGGGCAAAAGCAAAAGAGCAAGTCTTCAGGAGTAGAAATCAACAGTGACAAATTCTTTCCCCCTGATGCTCTACAGGTTTTAAGCAAGTTCTAAAATAAGCAAAAGAGCTCAAATTGCTACAGCTCAAGGTTCTCAATTTGGTCCTTTTTAGTCCCAATTCCCAACTGTTGTGATTCCCCAAACCCTGAAAGCAAATGACTTCCCTTCCCAAGAGCCTGTGCCAACTCCTGGTGCCCAGACAGACAGACAGGAGGAAGGGATGGACATACCTCCTCCATCCTTTGCAGGCGTTGCTCCATCTCCGTGATGCGGGTGCATTTTTCCCTGATGCCTTCAGCAAGGTGGTTGGCATCTTCCGAGCTTTGCCGGAGCTTCTCTTCCTGTTGGAGGTTGTAGGCCTGGGACCAAAAAAAAGGGCATTAATGGAGCTGTGCTGGGAGACAGCAACGCAGCAGATGGACAGAGATAGGGCTCAAGGAATTCCAAGCCAAACCCAATCCAAAAATCACAGAAACACAGAATCTTCTAGGTTGGAAGGGACCTTAAAGATCATCTTGTCCAACCGTCAACCCAACTGACAAAAATAGACACCCACACAACAAACAAGGAGCATCATCACTAAACCATACCTCCCAGCACTACATCAACCCGTCTTTTGAACACCTCCAGGGATGGGGCCTCAACCACCTCCCTGGGCAGCCCATTCCAATGCCTGAGAACCCTTTCAGTAAAAAAATTTTTCCTAATATCCAGCCTGAACCTCCCCTGGCGCAACTTGAGGCCATTTCCTCTTGTCCTGTCGCCTGTGACTTGGGAGAAGAGACCGACCCCCACCTCTCTACACCCTCCTTTCAGGGAGTTGTAGAGAGCAAGAAGGTCTCCCCTCAGCCTCCTCTTCTCCAGGCTGAACACCCCCAGCTCCCTCAGCCTCTCCTCATAAGACTTATTCTCCAGACCCCTCACCATCTTTGTCGCCCTTCTCTGGACCTGCTCCAGCACCTCAATGTCTTTTTTATGGTAGGGGGCCCAAAACTGGACACAGTACTCAAGGTGAGGCCTCACCAGTGCCCAGTACAGGGGGACAATCACCTCTCGGGTCCTACTCCCCACGCTGTTCCTGATACAAGCCAGGATGCTGGTGGCTTTCTTGGCCACCTGGGCACACTGCTGGCTCATGTTCAGCCCACAGTCGACCAACAATCAGGAATAAAACCAAAATATTTTTAATTCCCCTATTTTACTTCTCCACTGGGCTACCAGAAGACGCTCAGCAGGTCCTAGGTTGAGTTTGCAGCACAGAGGGGCATAGCCCACAGAAATATTTTGATGAACAGGATGGTCATGGAAAGATTTGTACCTGTATTTGCTTCTTCTCACTCTCCTGGCTTTTTTTCAGTTCTTCTGAGCGAGCCTGGTAACTCTCATAGAGTTTCTGGGAAGCGGATCGGAGAGCCTGGACACCTGCTTCTCGTGTGGCTTCCAGCTAGAAAGAGTAATGGTATATATTGTGTGATTTTATAACCACCTGCTGAAGAATAAGCCCTCTCTACAAGATGTCAACTACCGAGAGAGCCCACCCTGCTGTCTCTCTAGCCCCAAATGGGATGTGTCCCCAAAACGCAGATTTTTGACATCAATTTTGTTGCCTGCTGGAACACCAGAGTTTTGCAGCAGCCAGGAAAGCGCAGCAGAATCGGCCTCTTTCCCAAAGGAAAGGCTCCAGCACGGGATGGGGCTGCACCAGCTGGGACCTGACTCTAACTGGGCAGCCAGGCACACAGATTCAGCTGAAACCTTAAAAAATAAACAACAAAAAAAACCAAAAACCACAAACGCACCTTGATCTTCAGCACTTGATTCTCCCTGCTCACCACCAGCAGCTGCTCTTCTGTCTCCTTCATGGTGGTCGCAACGGGGCTGCGGCTCCAGCTCTCTGCCTCCTCTCTATTGCCTGAGACTTGAGGATGCTGCTAAAGGATGGAAATTAATTATAAAAATAACAGAAAAACAGCTTGAGTGATCAAACTGACTCTAGAAGATCTGGTTTCTTATAAAGGTCTCTCCGGAGAACTGGGATTGAAATGTTCTGTGTGTTCCACTCTCCAGGGCTTTACATGGGAAATGATTTGCGGGGCGATTCCGATGAATAACTCTCTCCCACTCCCTGGAGTGGTTATTCCACAGATTAATTAGCTTTTACGATATCACAACCCAACATTTCCCCTTAAAAGAACTCCTCCTCGCTCCAGCCTATTTTAACTGTTTGAATAATTCCAATTTCCAAATCTCCTTGCTTCCCAGGGGCTGCCTCTTTGCACAAAACCACGTGTTTAAAGTGATTTTAAGTTGCTTAAACCATTTTTTCTCCAACTCTCCGAGGTGTTCAGGTTTGAGAGCTGGGACATGCAAGGAACACGACCTACAACGGCTCCGATTTCTGGCAGAACGTGCTGGCCATGTATAGGGCCCCGCGTCCGTTACGCCAAGTTCATTTGTTAAAAATAAACTACCCCAAACAAAGGGCACTCTGTACCTTTTTAAAAGGGTTTTACACCATAAATCACTTTTCTTTTCACTACAGAGGCTTTTCTTCAACCTCATTCCAGGATGCGGAAAGAAACTGCAACTTCATAAATGTCATTACAAAGGGAATGAAGAAATCTTATTTCTTTTCACTTAAATCAAAAGTTTGTGGTCTTCTCTCATTACAGACGAGAACAAATTAAATCCATTCATTAAATTCTATTATTCCTGCATTTCCTCTGGAATTCAGGAAAGGAACAACTCAAAACTATTTCAAACTACTGCACATTGTGATCTCCAAGGCGCCCTTGCTTTGTTGAGTGACACCTCCAGGATCACAGAATGGTTTGGGTTGGAAGAGACCTCAAAGACCATCCAGTGCCACCCCCTGCCCTGGGCAGGGACACCTCCCACCAGACCAGGTTGCTCCAAGCCCCATCCAACTCGGCCTTGAACCCCTCCAGGGATGGGGCAGCCACTACTCTGATTTCTGCCAGAACGTGCTGGCCGTGTATAGGGCCCCGCGTCCGTTACGCCAAGTTCATTTGTTAAAAATAAACTACCCCAAACAAAGGGCACTCTGTACCTTTTTAAAAGGGTTTTACACCATAAATCACTTTTCTTTTCACTGCAGAGGCTTTTCTTCAACCTCATTCCAGGATGCGGAAAGAAACTGCAACTTCATAAATGTCATTACAAAGGGAATGAAGAAATCTTATTTCTTTTCACTTAAATCAAAAGTTTGTGGTCTTCTCTCATTACAGACGAGAACAAATTAAATCCATTCATTAAATTCTATTATTCCTGCATTTCCTCTGGAATTCAGGAAAGGAACAACTCAAAACTATTTCAAACTACTGCACATTGTGATCTCCAAGGCGCCCTTGCTTTGTTGAGTGACACCTCCAGGATCACAGAATGGTTTGGGTTGGAAGAGACCTCAAAGACCATCCAGTGCCACCCCCTGCCCTGGGCAGGGACACCTCCCCCCAGACCAGGTTGCTCCAAGCCCCATCAAACTCGGCCTTGAACCCCTCCAGGGATGGGGCAGCCACAGCTTCTCTGGGCAACCTGGGCCAGGCTCTCACCACCCTCACACCAAACAAGTTCTTCCCCACATCTCATCTCAATCCCCCCACTTTCAGTGTCAAACCCTCCCTGATCCAGAGTCCCTCCCCAGCTTTCCTGGAGCCCCCTGAGGGACTGGAAGGGGCTCTGAGGTCTCCCTGGAGCCTTCTCTTCTCCAGGCTGAACCCACCACCTCTCTCAGCCTGATCTCCCAGCAGAGGGGCTCCAGCCCTCCCAGCATCTTCATGGCCCAGGATCTGCCTGACCCACAAGTCATTCTTCCACCCTGAGATACTGGTCCTCCAGGTACCCCAGACCAACATTTCTGCTTCATATAAAGCTTCTCACTGCTCCAGAGTTTCCTTGGCTCTTCCAAGGACCAAGCCTAGCTGTGCAGCTCAACTCAGCATCCATGCCATATCACAAATGGCTTCACATAAAAACTTTCAGGTACCAGCATGATGTTCAAACTGGCTAGCAGGTGGAACAGCAGCCTTAAATACATATATATATATTTTTTTTTTCTTTAATGAATCATATCTCACATTATTCCTATTGTTTTTAAAGTATAATGTGTCCATCCTGCCCTTTCTAACTGCTTAGGCACTGGTTTTGTCTGCAAAGCAAGCAAAGAAGCTCCAACCAAGCAAGCAAAGAAGCTCCAACCAAGCAAGCAAAGAAGCTCCAACCACACGTTCATCCCTGCTCTTTTCCAGCTTCCCATCTTTTTCCACAGGACGGCCAATTTCTGATAAACCTTTGGTGGACCCAGGGCAACCATTAGCCCAACATCAATCTCCTCATCAGCTGTTCTACCAGCCACCCCTTTCACTTCCCGATGTGGACACATTTATCTCGGTGGCATCTCAGAGCCCTTCCCAGCATCAACACTGCCCAGGGCCAGGCTCCTTCATCATCCTCCTCCTCACATCAAACATCTCTGCCACCCAGGAGCGGTGACTTTGGGTGGGGACATGCACTCTTGCAACACTCTTAAGCGAGGGGTGAGAAAACCTCACTGGTTTTTAAGTGCTTTCACCCAACCTAAGGTGGCACATGCTATAATTAAATCATTGCTGGGGAGTAAATAGCATTTCTGGAACCCATGTGCAAATCAAAAAAGGTTTCCCAAGCGTGTGTTGTCACCCGTTTCTCCTTCAGTCATGAGTTTTCCTCCCTCCCTTTCCTGCTGGAGCAAAGGAAGGAACAGAAGAGTGGTGGCTGCAGAAATACCTTTCTCACGTACTCGGCTTCCTCGGTGATTTGGGAGCAGGAGGAGCCATAAAGGACATAGTTTCCCTCCGAGCCGTGGTCTTCCCTTGTGATCTGCTCGGTGAGGAGCAGGGTGGTCATCACGATACGCGTCTTTCGCTGCTCTGTGTGGGCGAGAGGAGAGAGAAGGGCTGGTTTCATTACCCAGGGATGGAGGATAATCCCATTATTCCAGCCCCTTTAATTCCATCTCAGCTTTAGGGACACGCCGGAACCAGCTTAAAGCACCGAACAGTAAGGAGCACTTCAAAAAATAAATAAATCACAGACTCATAGGGGTTGGAAGGGACCTTCAGAACTCATCAAATTCAACCCCCTGCCAAATTAAAATAAAATCAAACCCCCTGATTATTATCTTTTTTTAATAGATGGGAAGAGAGATGCTTTCACACACTATTTTCACTGAAGATTTCAATTTTTACTAACAACCTACACCCCCACCCTCTGCTATTTCAGAAAACACGTGGCCAGAGGTTCCCAGGCAGAAAAATCAGGGAGTAATTCACACACAACAACATACGCAGTTTAAGAACAAACCAAGACTTTTGCCATCCACCTGCCAAGTCACTAAATTAAACTCCCATTTTTCCCCCCAACGCCGGGGAATTCACTCCACGCTCGGCTCTGCCCGGAGCAGAGCTCCCAGCGACTCCACCGGAGCAGAACTGGTTTTAATGGGCTTCAGGAGGATTATCCCCATCCTGCTGAGATGCCAGAAGCAGCACAAAGCCTGAATGATATCGTAACTCTAAGAAAAAAAAACCTAAAATGTAAAATAAGGCTTTTTTTTTTGTTTTCTCTCTCTCTCAAGCAGGGAGAAGGAAGCCCCGAGCACCTTGGGCTGGGTTTGTGCTGTGCAATGGTGACATCCAGTGTCGGCCGCGTGGCTCTGAACCCAGCGCCTCCGTCTCGAAAGCCACCGGTTTCCAGCTCCATCCCGGCTGCTCCTTGGCACATTGGAAGGATCCGGAGCCAATTAAGGTCAGAGGGATGATAAAGATCACTTTAAGGAGCACCTGGTTCGGGGCTCACAGTGGAAAAATGCAAAAACCTGGTTTCACTTCACAAAGCTTACAGAGAATTTGCAATAATAATTCATTTTTAAAAACATTTCTTTTTTAAACTCTGAAGTTGAAGGTCTCGGGGGCTCCGGCCGCGGCAACACAACAAGGGTGCTCAGATCCAAACCCTCCTCCTTCCTTGAGTCATCCCAACAGCCAGCGTTGCAGCACTCCCAGGAAGGTTGAGCACGTTTCTTAACGAGCTCCTTCTGGACGGCCAATTTCTGATAAACCTTTGGTGGACCCAGGGCCACATTCATCCCTGCTCTTTTCCAGCTTCCCATCTTTTTCCACAATTTCTGATAAACCTTTGGTGGACCCAGGGCAACCATTAGCCCAACATCAATCTCCTCATCAGCTGTGCTACCAGCCACCCCTTTCACTGTGGACACGTTTATCTCTGCGGCATCTCAGAGCCCTTCCCAGCATCAACACTGCCCAGGGCCAGGCTCCTTCATCATCCTCCTCCTCACATCAAACATCTCTGCCACCCAGGAGCGGTGACTTTGGGTGGGGACATGCACTCTTGCAACACTCTTAAGCGAGGGGTGAGAAAACCTCACTGGTTTTTAAGTGCTTTCACCCAACCTAAGGTGGCACATGCTATAATTAAATCATTGCTGGGGAGTAAATAGCATTTCTGGAACCCATGTGCAAATCAAAAAAGGTTTCCCAAGCGTGTGTTGTCACCCGTTTCTCCTTCAGTCATGAGTTTTCCTCCCTCCCTTTCCTGCTGGAGCAAAGGAAGGAACAGAAGAGTGGTGGCTGCAGAAATACCTTTCTCACGTACTCGGCTTCCTCGGTGATTTGGGAGCAGGAGGAGCCATAAAGGACATAGTTTCCCTCCGAGCCGTGGTCTTCCCTTGTGATCTGCTCGGTGAGGAGCAGGGTGGTCATCACGATACGCGTCTTTCGCTGCTCTGTGTGGGCGAGAGGAGAGAGAAGGGCTGGTTTCATTACCCAGGGATGGAGGATAATCCCATTATTCCAGCCCCTTTAATTCCATCTCAGCTTTAGGGACACGCCGGAACCAGCTTAAAGCACCGAACAGTAAGGAGCACTTCAAAAAATAAATAAATCACAGACTCATAGGGGTTGGAAGGGACCTTCAGAACTCATCAAATTCAACCCCCTGCCAAATTAAAATAAAATCAAACCCCCTGATTATTATCTTTTTTTAATAGATGGGAAGAGAGATGCTTTCACACACTATTTTCACTGAAGATTTCAATTTTTACTAACAACCTACACCCCCACCCTCTGCTATTTCAGAAAACACGTGGCCAGAGGTTCCCAGGCAGAAAAATCAGGGAGTAATTCACACACAACAACATACGCAGTTTAAGAACAAACCAAGACTTTTGCCATCCACCTGCCAAGTCACTAAATTAAACTCCCATTTTTCCCCCCAACGCCGGGGAATTCACTCCACGCTCGGCTCTGCCCGGAGCAGAGCTCCCAGCGACTCCACCGGAGCAGAACTGGTTTTAATGGGCTTCAGGAGGATTATCCCCATCCTGCTGAGATGCCAGAAGCAGCACAAAGCCTGAATGATATCGTAACTCTAAGAAAAAAAAACCTAAAATGTAAAATAAGGCTTTTTTTTTTGTTTTCTCTCTCTCTCAAGCAGGGAGAAGGAAGCCCCGAGCACCTTGGGCTGGGTTTGTGCTGTGCAATGGTGACATCCAGTGTCGGCCGCGTGGCTCTGAACCCAGCGCCTCCGTCTCGAAAGCCACCGGTTTCCAGCTCCATCCCGGCTGCTCCTTGGCACATTGGAAGGATCCGGAGCCAATTAAGGTCAGAGGGATGATAAAGATCACTTTAAGGAGCACCTGGTTCGGGGCTCACAGTGGAAAAATGCAAAAACCTGGTTTCACTTCACAAAGCTTACAGAGAATTTGCAATAATAATTCATTTTTAAAAACATTTCTTTTTTAAACTCTGAAGTTGAAGGTCTCGGGGGCTCCGGCCGCGGCAACACAACAAGGGTGCTCAGATCCAAACCCTCCTCCTTCCTTGAGTCATCCCAACAGCCAGCGTTGCAGCACTCCCAGGAAGGTTGAGCACGTTTCTTAACGAGCTCCTTCTCTAATAAAATATAATGAGGCCACTTGAAACATTGACTGCTGTGGCAGAGGAGGAACACCGTTCCCACCGAGCCCGGGTGGGTCAAGGGCAACCATTAGCCCAACATCAATCTCCTCATCAGCTGTTCTACCAGCCACCCCTTTCACTTCCCGATGTGGACACATTTATCTCGGTGGCATCTCAGAGCCCTTCCCAGCATCAACACTGCCCAGGGCCAGGCTCCTTCATCATCCTCCTCCTCACATCAAACATCTCTGCCACCCAGGAGCGGTGACTTTGGGTGGGGACATGCACTCTTGCAACACTCTTAAGCGAGGGGTGAGAAAACCTCACTGGTTTTTAAGTGCTTTCACCCAACCTAAGGTGGCACATGCTATAATTAAATCATTGCTGGGGAGTAAATAGCATTTCTGGAACCCATGTGCAAATCAAAAAAGGTTTCCCAAGCGTGTGTTGTCACCCGTTTCTCCTTCAGTCATGAGTTTTCCTCCCTCCCTTTCCTGCTGGAGCAAAGGAAGGAACAGAAGAGTGGTGGCTGCAGAAATACCTTTCTCACGTACTCGGCTTCCTCGGTGATTTGGGAGCAGGAGGAGCCATAAAGGACATAGTTTCCCTCCGAGCCGTGGTCTTCCCTTGTGATCTGCTCGGTGAGGAGCAGGGTGGTCATCACGATACGCGTCTTTCGCTGCTCTGTGTGGGCGAGAGGAGAGAGAAGGGCTGGTTTCATTACCCAGGGATGGAGGATAATCCCATTATTCCAGCCCCTTTAATTCCATCTCAGCTTTAGGGACACGCCGGAACCAGCTTAAAGCACCGAACAGTAAGGAGCACTTCAAAAAATAAATAAATCACAGACTCATAGGGGTTGGAAGGGACCTTCAGAACTCATCAAATTCAACCCCCTGCCAAATTAAAATAAAATCAAACCCCCTGATTATTATCTTTTTTTAATAGATGGGAAGAGAGATGCTTTCACACACTATTTTCACTGAAGATTTCAATTTTTACTAACAACCTACACCCCCACCCTCTGCTATTTCAGAAAACACGTGGCCAGAGGTTCCCAGGCAGAAAAATCAGGGAGTAATTCACACACAACAACATACGCAGTTTAAGAACAAACCAAGACTTTTGCCATCCACCTGCCAAGTCACTAAATTAAACTCCCATTTTTCCCCCCAACGCCGGGGAATTCACTCCACGCTCGGCTCTGCCCGGAGCAGAGCTCCCAGCGACTCCACCGGAGCAGAACTGGTTTTAATGGGCTTCAGGAGGATTATCCCCATCCTGCTGAGATGCCAGAAGCAGCACAAAGCCTGAATGATATCGTAACTCTAAGAAAAAAAAACCTAAAATGTAAAATAAGGCTTTTTTTTTTGTTTTCTCTCTCTCTCAAGCAGGGAGAAGGAAGCCCCGAGCACCTTGGGCTGGGTTTGTGCTGTGCAATGGTGACATCCAGTGTCGGCCGCGTGGCTCTGAACCCAGCGCCTCCGTCTCGAAAGCCACCGGTTTCCAGCTCCATCCCGGCTGCTCCTTGGCACATTGGAAGGATCCAGAGCCAATTAAGGTCAGAGGGATGATAAAGATCACTTTAAGGAGCACCTGGTTCGGGGCTCACAGTGGAAAAATGCAAAAACCTGGTTTCACTTCACAAAGCTTACAGAGAATTTGCAATAATAATTCATTTTTAAAAACATTTCTTTTTTAAACTCTGAAGTTGAAGGTCTCGGGGGCTCCGGCCGCGGCAACACAACAAGGGTGCTCAGATCCAAACCCTCCTCCTTCCTTGAGTCATCCCAACAGCCAGCGTTGCAGCACTCCCAGGAAGGTTGAGCACGTTTCTTAACGAGCTCCTTCTCTAATAAAATATAATGAGGCCACTTGAAACATTGACTGCTGTGGCAGAGGAGGAACACCGTTCCCACCGAGCCCGGGTGGGTCAACAGCAGCTCACCCCCGGGAGGGA